CCCGACACCTCATCCTCGGCGTCCGGGGTGGTGGCCCTGGCCGCGGCGGGGCCTCGCGTGCAGGGCTCCTCGCGCTGCTGCACCGCGCCTGGTACAGAGCAGGCAGTGGCCGCGTGTCGGGCCCGCTCACCTTCCCTTCTGAGCCCCGGACCCGTTCCCCAAAACCCAGCGCGAGAGATCCCTCTGGGCCTGCCTGCAGGGCCCGCAGACACTTTGCTCCCTGATCCCGCGGGCGCTCCGGTTTCCCTTTACGCTTTGGCTACCAGGAAGCTCAGGGCAGCCTCACACCCAAGGCCCTTGTTCTCTGCCTCACCTCCCTACGCTACCTGCACTTCCCTTTTGGCGCTGCTGGCTTGTTTGTTTTTATGTTTGTTTTTATCATATTAGCAAATGCAGTCAGATCAACCAGCCCTGGGCATTTGGGGAAGGAAGCTGGGTACAAATAATTATTGCAGCTACACTGCAAATAGCATGGAGATTCAGCCCCGGAAGCTGGTGTGTTTAATGAACACTTCAGTGAACCGATGGGGGAAGAGGCTCTCTCACAAGCTCTTCACAATAAAATTAATCTAGCAAATAACCTGAGCCCGGACCAGCAGCTGGCCACACAGTTCAGGGCCATCCTCCAGCACGACAGCCCAGCTCAGCTCTGCTGTCTCTCTGTGCCTTCCAGTTAAGCGACTCAAGCTGGCCTGGGCGGTGACCTGGGGATGCCAGCCTGGGCTCCACCCTGTGCTGCCCCTGTACACTGTCCTGCCCGCCCTTCTTGGGCAGCCTCCTGGTGCCCTCCCATGCTTCTCCGTGCCAGCAGCTGAGATCTGTCAGAGGGAGGGACAGAGGTGACTGATGGAAAGCGGTTGGGTCAAGGCTCTGTATTGGCTGGATGACCTCAGATCTCTCTGGTGACCCTGTGGAGTCAGAGGAGCATCTTGCACAGCTTAAGGGGCCCTGACTCCGCCCTGGCAGTCCCCACCTCGGGGTATAGGTTCAGGCCTCTGGGCCTTTGCTGGGCTCACCTGAGTTCCAGGTGGGGCGTGGCTGCTAGTCCCTGAGCACCGACCGAGCATGAGGTGGTCAAGTCCACCTTCGTCTGCTAGCACCCTCCTCAGCGCTCTCCCACCCCCGGCCCCTGACTCTTGGCCTGACCCAGGCCGGCTGGGTGGACCCTGAGTCCGGAACAGCTCAGAGGCCTCCTTGGGTGCTGCCGACATGCTGAGGAGACCTTCCCCCGGCCCCCCTCACACCGGGGTATGTGCCCACGTGGCGTGCACCCCTACCTTTCAGCTGCAGCTGGAACTCCTTCAGCAGCACCTCGGGTGGGATGATGGGGCCTGGGGGGCCCTGGGGGCCAGGAGGCCCTGGGGGCCCTGGCAGGCCGAGCTGAAAGGCAACCTTGGCCATGAGGACATTGAAATGGGCAGGCTGGGAACCCTGGGCCTCTGCCCTGCAAGCTCTTGCCACTAAGGCAGGCAAGAGGCGCTCCCACTTTGACCCCCAACCTCCAAGGTAGAGGTCAGCTGCAGGGTCCTCGGACCCCAGAGCAGGCGGGGACGTGGGGGGTGGGGGAGCGGTGCTTGGAAAGCCGCCCTCTGGGCCAGCCAAGGCCTCCCGCACCAGGATGCGGCCGGAAGAGAAGGGGCTGCCTGGTGTTCCAGGGGTGCAGGGTAAACGGTCGCAACAGGTCCCAAACTTGGGGTCCCCTGGGCCCCCAGCTTGGCACTTTCTGTGTTCTCCGATCCAGGCTGAGAGTGAGGGTCTGTGCTGGGTCAAATGTGCGAGGTGTGCCAGCGGGGGCTGGTGAGTGGCATGGGGTGTGGGGATGGCGGTGGGCTGGGTGGGGGAGGCCTCTCACGTTTGCACGCGCACACGCGCACACACACTCATGGGGCTCCCCTGCTCACCTTCAACTTCTTGGCTTTGCCTCTGCTCCCTCTCTTGCCGTTAACACCCTTGTCACTCTGCCTGACGAAGAGCATCCAAGTGTCCCAGGGGTCGATGCTGTGTGCTCGCTCAGTGCTGGGACCCTAGAACGCAGGAGCCATCGGGTCACTTACCGCCCCGTGCCCCCACAGTGGGCGCCTGCTGGGACACTTCAGAAGGTCGCTGTGCAGGACTGGCCTTCAGCACTTCGATCCCGTCCTCGTCAATCATCGTGCCCTCAAAGCCAACACAGCCCCTGGGGATGACCCCTGGGGAATGGACCAGACGATGGAGCAGAAGAGCCAGGACGTGGGCAGAGGAAGATGGGGTGCTGAGCTCTGTCCCGACACTGCTGCAGTGCACACACCTCCCAGGAGAGTTGCGGGAGGATGGGGCCACCCACACCTGCAGGTGCCCAGGAAGAGGCAACTGTGATTATCGGGGTCTCCAGCTACCAGTGGAGCTCCCCACCCCTCAACTAAGCCCTGTGGCCCAAAGTCCCAGGAAGCCCAACCTCAGCCGTCACAGTCCAGGGCAGTTAGGGGGTCCAGGCAGTCCAGCACTGAGATGCCATGACTCAAGGTCTGTGCCCGGGGCGTGGCACTGCTCATCTAATTCAGGACATCCGGGACACATGACCCAAGGACAGTGACAGTTCTAGAAATATCCATCCCTGTCCATGCTGCATTCTAACCAGTCCTGACACTGAGGAAAGTTCCAGAAGGTGCCTTCCAGGGAGAAGCCTTTGGCCAATTGGGCACCGGGCCGTGTATAGTCTGGGCAGCGGGCAAGGCTGCCGGCTGGGAGGGCTTAGATGAGGTCATGGGCACTGACTTGGTGGCTGATGGGAGGACTGGCTTGTAGAGCTGGCCAGGTCCTGTCGTCAGAGATAGATCCCCCTTCATGGCCTCACACTGCCCTCAGCACAAACACGTGGCAGGGGTATTCCATGAGGGCCGGACATGCATGGTGAGCTGACTCTCCCAGCTGGCCAGGGGCCTGTGGATGGACTCAGACCCCAGTTTGGTTGGGGGGAGCAGAAACAGGTAGAGCCAGGTTGGTGTGGGGACCTGGGGATGGGCCAGTGGTGGTGTGGGTGCGTGTCGGACAGTGCCCTGGCTCCCCAAGCTCTCCAGCCTTGAAGTGGGGCTCAGGAGCTGGGAGCCTCTGGTGCCACTTTGACCTGCAAAGACAGTGAAAGGCCAGAACCCTGCTTGGAAGCACCCCAGAACCCCCTCTGCTTCCTGGCGACTATGTGGACATTGGGTGACCCTCTCCTCTGGGTGTGGCTGGCAGGCTGGCAGGGTTTGCCTTCTGTCCATGACAAGTGGCTGGGGTGGTAGAGACGAGGACCTCAGGGGGGCCCCTCCCAGGGATCCTGAAGGGCTGGCTGCCACCTCCACTGGTGGGCAGGGTCCTTGGCGCCCGTGCTTCCCAGTGTGATGCTGAGGACGCAAAGGCCCAGGCCTGAGGTGCCCCCACGGTGCCTTTTGCATCTTGATAACACGTGGAACCCAAACCACCTTCCCATCTGAAGGGTCCGACCTGACCCCCTCTGTGCCAGCCAGGACCGAAGGAGCAGGGCAGAGCTAAAGAGCACCCCTTCACAGCCAGAAGTCACACGTCTCCGTGGGGTCTGCACCCCCAAACACTTCCCCACACCCACAGGAAGGCAGTTTCTGTTATTCACGGGGAATTGCACCAAATCGACTGGGGGAGGGGTCAGTAATTTGCTCACGCTTTTACAAGCACAATCCTCTCCAAGTCACGAGAAGAAACTTTACACTTAACTTACTTCCTAACCTCCTCTGCGCCCCCCAAACGGCATTTATCCCTGGCCTAGTGGAATTTTGCTGTAATGCCAAAGAAAACTGGCCCAAAGCCAAGGGCAAGGCTGCTGGCCTTTGCGTCCAGCGCCGTCTGTCCACGGCGGAGCTTCGCGAGCTAAGCGTTTTTATCCCCTCGTTGGAAAGCTGGACGTCAAAGCCACCG